GTGGTATTGCCAACGAAGCAGGAACACTCATGCGATATTTGATCCATCTGTGATCACTTTCTCAACCTATAGATTTGTAATCCATCTCTGTCAGTGGATTATCTGGATGGGAGGGAGGCATGTCCATGTGAACCAGAGCTGAAGTTGATCTGGTAAGATGTCATGTCTTAGGCTTGAAAGCAGCCTGATCAAGTCATACAAAATCCATCTGGCATTGTCAGTCTGTGTGTGTGAGGGAGTCCAAGCCCTGCATCTAAGGTTCATAGTGGTTTTTAGTTCATTTTCTTAATCAAGTCTCTCCTCACTAAAAAAAAGGAAAGTTTTTGCAACAAAAAATGTAGGCAAGTACAGTCAGTTCTTCCACATTTAAACTTTTGAAGACAGTTATGTATATACTGATAAGTATTCACTGAAATTTTATGGTTTTGAAGAGGCAAACAAAGTACACATAATTACAGTATGTGTCTAGAAGAAAATGCTGTCTGAATTTCAATCCCCTGAAAAACTAATTGGAATTAAATTTTAAGGTTAATTTATTAAAATACATTAAGTCATTATTAATATTCCTTCATTTCAGTTCAAGTTAATATTAGGTTTTACGTTAAATAACTGATGAGCAGGGTCAACATTTTTTCAGATGTAACCTGAAAAGTAAAAACAAAAGTCAAACTGACAATGTAATGTCCCTTTTAAAAGAAAATAGTGTATAACTTCTTAAGTATGCTTAAGTTGGTGCAGTATTGGGTAGACTTGCTGTCAGTGCTTAAATGTGAAAATTTGAAGTCAAGTAGCTTATAAGGCTCATCAGCAACGGTGATTGTTCAGATGCTTCTGGAAAATAAGGCACTTGTGATACAATAGGCTTCCTTAGAGTAGAGGATGATAATTGCTTGGTCAGAAGGGAAGCTATTTGCATCCCTTCACTAGGATGAATATAAGTCCACCCGAATACTTTCCTACTTGAAAGTATTTTTTATAGTCCAGTTCTCACTTTTATCAATATCTTTCCCCTCCTGTGTTTCAAAGCAGCATTTTAAAGTCTAGAATTGCAAATTCTGAGGTCACTACTATTGGCACAGGGATGTTGGCAGGTGTGTCTAGAATGACTGTTTAACTACCTCTGCCCTGGAATCATTAACCATGAGTATTGCTGGTGGAAAACACTTGTGTTACATGTATGAAGTGCCAGTTTCAGTGGATGTTTGGGTGAGGGTGGTGAGAGCCCTGGTGACCCCTGATCAGCACCAGAGAACAAACACTTGACCTGCTCAAAAATGTCTGATACCCCAGGAGTCACAAACCTCTCTCAATGCTTTCAGCATCTCTGGTGCTTGCAGGGCCATCGAGTGGTGATGCCTTGTCTTTGCCCAGATCTCCCTACAAAACAAATACATGTAGGTATGCATAGGAATTCTAGGAGGCATTCATTTATCTATTGCAAGTTTCAACAGATAAAATTCCAGTTGAATGAAATGGAAAAAACTATTCCAAGGGAGGATGGTGAAGCATGGGACAGATTGCTCAAAGAAGCTGTGATGTACCCATACTTGCAAATTTTTAAAACCTAGTGGGATGAGACCTGGTGCAATCTGATCTGACTTTGCAGTTAGCCCAGCTTGGAGCTAGGGGTTAAAATAGATGACCTCTGAGAGTCACTTTCAGCCTCAATTATTAGGTAATTTTATCTGCCATTCCACTGTGGAACATGGTCTCAGGACACAGGACAGGAGTGGTGTGTGGGATGTGTTCAGCAATTTTGTGAGCTAGGAAGAGTGTGTGTTTACCTCCCCATCAGCTGTGTTTTTAGTTGACGAAGTTTAGAAGTAGCATGTAATCATACTTGATTTAGTGGAATACTTGGCACAAGGACTACCCTCTCTCCAAAAACTCTTCAATAAAAACTGAAGCCTTACCAGATCTGTGCAAAGTAGGTAAATGTACCAGTTTGCAGATTTCTGGTATTGGCTACAAAATGCCAGATCAATTTGTGATAGGAAAGGGAGTGGGACCACTGTTGGTGTAAGAGGAAAATCCGTCTGTGGAGGGGTCAAACAGAGTTCAGAACTATATTTACTGTGCTGCTTTTATTTTTAATAAAGTTTGATGCTAATATGTCTACTACAGTAATAAAAACAAATTTCATTAAGGGTAAGGATCACTCAGATTCTCATCTGATATGAAGAGTGTTTGAACAAAGAAGGAGGATTCTACAGAAAATGGAAATCTGGAAGCAGCTATAACTCATATTTAATGCTCTGAAATGTGCCTTAGAAAATCATTATTGTCTTAGGCCAGCTGCAGCATTAATTAATGCAAGTGCTGACTTAAGCAGGGGGTTGCTTCCAGTGTCTTTTCATCTGGCACATGGACTGCACAGGGTAGTGCCTGCTTTCCTGTGCTTAGGGAGGGGGGACAATAATCTGCGTTTTTTCCTTCCGCGCATACAGATCCACATCCAGAGAACTGAAGGGTGTGACCACATGACCTGTTCACAGTGCAACACTAATTTCTGTTACCGTTGTGGGGAGAGATACCGCCAGCTCCGCTTCTTTGGAGATCACACGTCAAACCTCAGTATCTTTGGATGCAAATATCGCTACCTCCCCGAGAGACCACATTTACGGAGATTAGTGCGAGGGTCTGTCTGTGGTGAGTGGCTAAATGTTCTTTGTGGAGAGCTGCACAATGAAGTGACTGGGGGGATGGGAAAATAATAAGCTAAATAAAAGCTAGTTGTTTAGAGTATTGGATGGGCAGCTTGGTTTTCAGTTCCAAAAAAAGTGGTTTATAAAATATATTTAGATATATAGCTTTCACACTCCTTTTTAGATGGACTGTGTATGTGTCAGTATTGTGTCCTCTTCTGATAGTTTCTGTTTCCCTAACCTTATTTAGTAATGCATAAGAAAACTGGCAAAATGTTGTCAATATACATGTGCTGGCTGTGTTTGGTATTCTAAAAGCATATAGGAGAAATGGATCAAAGCAGGAACCTTTGGTAAATGAATCTCTGTGTCAAAGCACTGTTTGGAAGTGAACCTGTTCGGGGTATGAACAACTCAGGCTTGCCCATTTAAATAGGAGGACACTTATTTGTAACTGTTAGTTTTAGTTCAGATAAAATCCAGCTTAAAACAAAATACAACTATATACATTATTTCTCTCCTAGAAGTATGATGCCAAAACTGTCTTATTAAACAAAAAGGCACTTGTAATTTGCCTTTGAACCAGATGTCTATCTGTCTGAGCCTAGAGAAGCACAAGAAAAATGAAAAACAAAGTAGACTATTACCTTATGTGGTGTCTTATGTATACATTAAGTTTAGTCATTGCAGTCAGTTTACAGCATGCAAAGCTATCTATTTTATAGGAAATGCTTGTATTAATTGTCAAAAACTGGGAACTTTTTAAGGAAAATAGAACTTTTTGTACTTTTAGTTAAGGCATAGAAATTGAAGATGGCTTGGAATTTACCTAGGATGAGGAAATGCTTTGAGCTTATCAGCAGACCTGAGGTAAAAATATTACCCTTGAGCCAAACATGTTCCAGTAAGAAAACTAGGTGATTTCCAGAATAACGCAGGAGTTGGCACACAAGCTCATAGGCCTGGTAATAAAAATGCCACTCCTGCTGCTCTGCGAAGTTGTAGGAGATTCACAAACCTGGAATGCTTGTTTAACAAGTGACAGTACGTCATCCAAGCCCATTAGTTTGACCTCAGGAACTTGCGAGGCTTTATAACAAACTTTGAGAAAGGTGATTTAAAGATACAGATTAATAAGAAAGTGGATGAAAAGTGAAAAAGGTTGGAGGTGTCTCCTCTGATGCATTTTGTAGAGATAAATTCCAATGCATGAGAAGATCTAGTCTTGATCAAAGGTAATACTGGCACTAGAGCACATGGATATAAACTGTTCATAAATAAATTTAGGCTTAAAAGCCAACTGTTTCAAAGCTCTCAGTAAGCTTTCAGAAGAGCTTTTAGTAATAGCCACCACGGTAAACAAAGTAAGTGTTTTTAAGTGGATCTTGGTACCTTTGTTATAACTGGTATCTGCTCTAGCAAAGGACTGTGCTCAGAGACATTACCAAGTCAGTGCTGCTCATGTGTGGAATCGTCGGTACCCTTGTTAGAATCGTAGAATAGTTTGGGTTGGGCCACATAAATGTAAATACATAAATATCAGGCAAGAGAGGACATCAGTGTCATCCGTAGGTGTTAGTGTGCAGGACTGGGTTTTGGTTCTGTTCTGAAAGTCAGCAGAAAAAAGAGGAGGTAGGCCATTAAAAGCATGGTGTCTAAATTTTAGTAGCATATAAAGGTTGGGTTTCCTGTACTAAAATGCCTCTGCTAAGTAGTGGAAATTAAGAGAACATTGTCTTGGCAGTCAGTGGGAAACTGGTGAGGTGTTGCTAGATATGTCGGCTTTTTCTGTGATTTCTTGCTTTCTTGCTATGGAGAAGAAATAGTAAAGAAGTAAATGTGATTTTGTAGCTGTGTACAGTGAAGGTTTTTTTGGCTTGCTTCTAAAACCCGAATGGGGTGGGGTGTGTAGAAAGGAAAGAACACCTCATGGCAGGCTGGCATGCTATCATGGTTTCTATTGAGAAGTGTTTGTGCATACAATCACAAACTGTTCTGCAATAAAAATAAGGGAAAAGCATTTATGACTGCATAAATTTAAACATAAATCCCAGGGAGAAGAAAACCTGAGAGCAGAAATGATCTCTGAATTTGATAACATTTCTTTCCCTCCTTTGGTCAGCATGTCTTTTAGAGAAACTTTGTCCTGTGATCAGTGCAGTAAGGCAAAATTGCTTTTATCCTTCAGTCCCAGAGGACTTAGAGATTTCATTCTCATAGTAATTATTTGGCTAAGTTGTTGTAGGCAGAATGTTTGGTTATAACTGGAGTCAGTGATGAATTGCACAGAAAGGAAAAACATGTTCAGCTGTCTCCAGTGTAGTTAAGATGCCACTCAAGTACCACCTGAATTCAGTTGGATGAATTATATTCAAAGCAATTGCTAGGTACTTCATGGATTTGTGACAAGACACAACATGTAATAAAGTTATGAAAGCAAAGGAATTTTTTTGCCTGGTAAACAGAATTTCAGACAGGATTCTGAAAGCAACATGTTTTTCAGATCTGACTGTCATACTCCTGTCCCAGGCAGAGTGCAAGGTTCACTTCATGCATGAATGGCTTTGAGCACCACAGAAGGAAGCTTGTGATTCAACCTTGACTAGCAACTTCATCATTTCAGTTGTTCTGATTTCATCTATATACTCTTGATAGGACTCTTTTAAAACAAATGCAAACTTTTATTAGAACTATATCTACATATATATGTCTGTTTTGATTTTTAAGTAGACACTTCTAGTGGCTCTATTGGTTAGACAATAATGATATTTAGACTTAAAACCAAAACTTTTTATTTCTCATATGCTAATGATTACATTTTTTTTCTAAAACTAGTTTATTAATTTTTTCAGATGACAGAATTATTTAAGTATTTATGGGGTTTTGTATGTATTACCCTAAGACTTCCAAGGAAACCCAAAGTTATGCAAGGGAAAAATATTCCCTCATGTTTCCTGAAATATTTGGTCACTTTGCAGAAAAACATGATCCTCTGTATCACAAGTAAGGCAATCCCTCTGACACCTGCAAATACAGTTACTACATTACCACAGATGTCTAAATCTTCATTCTGAGTGACCCAGTAGAGAAACTGTTTACCATTAATTTGAGTGCAGTTGTAAAAAAGGTTCCCTTTTGAGCCTTGTTCTGTTTACACCTGTTTCTTCTTATGCTATCCTTGAAAACTGGCTTTGAACAATACCAAATTGCCTATCATAACCTACTGTTGAGTTCACCACATGAACTAATGACCCAAGATTTTATTCAGCTCTGAGGCAGGTTTTACATTTGCTTTCTCTGATAGCAGTTCCAGATCTAACAGACAGGACAGTGGATCCTTGGGCAGTTCAGTGCCTGCAATAAACATACTTAGTCTCAGCTGCATTTCTTGGTGTGTCATGATCCCCTGCATGATTAAGAGCCTCATAATCTTTCACACTACCGGTGTGTCTCAAACTGGAATTGAATATAAAGTAATTTTCACTTCAGACGTGTAAAGTAGAACATTTTTTTATTTCTTTCATACTACAATGCTGATAAAAACGATTGAAGTAAAAGGTACATACCTGCTGCTTTGCAGAGCTGAAATAAAGCATGAGTAGTGAGTTTGTCAAATGTAAGTAAAACAGTTCTTGAACTGAATTAGCTTAGGAACTGTTCTTGGTGTCTTCAAAGAAAGTGCTCTAGTCAAAAGGCAACTTAGCCCTTTCTGTAGACTGTTTCTGCATACTCAGTCAGCAGTTCAGTGTTTTAAGTTTTTAATCTTGGTGCCAAACATCATAATTTTCTAACATTCTAATTACATGGCTATTAATAAAGGAAAGAGAGTTCATTCCTTAAACCAATCTTTTACAAGCTTTGCTTTGAAATTGTTAAAGGCTCTGGTAATGTTTTTAAATCTTTCTAATTGCTTGTTTTTGGAGCTTTCTTGAGGGTTTTCATCACTTTACATTCATTCTTCTGTCTGTAGTTGAATAATTTATTTGACAACCTCTATGTGTATAGAATGCAGTGGAGTTGTGGAGTCCCAAGAAGGTTACCATTAGGATGCCTAGCAACTGGAGTAATACAAATAATATTTGCCTGTTTTTTTCATCTAGGAATTTACATTTCCCACCCACAACACTCCTGTGAAATTTAAAAGCTATCAAAACAGAGCATGAAAAGGGCCAGTTCATTTAACTGCTCTAAATGTTTCCAAAACATCTTTTTTTTCCTTCAGACTGCTCAAATTAGTGTCTCAGGTTATGGGGAGGTTTACATCACTATTGAATGAAGTAATCCATTTACTGAAATCTGATACAGGTGACTTTAGAGAGGGAAGAGCAGGGAAGAGAGAGGTAACAAACTCACTTTTCCTCCCTTTCTAGAGGTGGTCTTTCAAATACATGCCTAACTTAGAGAATTGCAAAATTTCAAGTCCCTGATCAGACTGTTGATGTATCAGTAAAAATGCCTGCCCTGCTGTGATCTCAAACACCTGAGACAAGTGACTTGTTTGATCCAACCGCTCAGCCAACAGAGCCAGGGAGATTCTTCCACTGAAAGTGTGCAACACAAAAATGATAACTTGGGCTCAAAGTTGATTCAGTTTCACTGTTTCAGAAGCACATCTGCCCTTAGTCCATGAACTTCTACACATCATGAACTCATCAAAAGTAAAGGATATGAACACACTTGATTTTTTTCTTATTCTTCTGCTCTAGCCAGTACAACATTGCTGCCTTACTCATGTAAGAGCTGCAATGTATCCTTATAAATGTTGATCCAAAATAGACTTGACTGTGTTTTGATTTAGACCTAAATCACAGCTGTGCATGAGCACTTGACTATAGCCTTTTAAAGTGAGCAGAAGCATATTTAGAGGTGATGGTCTCATCACCTTGAGCTAACCTAAACTTTCCAAGATGCTGGTTTGCTTGGCATCTTTCCAGGGTGATTGCTGTGCAGTAGGATTCCAGAGAAGCCAAATGATAGTAGCTTTATAGCTATCACATTCCTGCCGATGCCTGAGGGATTTCGGAATGGAAACAGAAGTAAATGAGAGCTGTTAACATACAAAAAGAGTTGTGCTTAGAGTGGTGGTGGGTGGAGAGGGCAGAGAAATGTGTGCAGAGACCTGATTGAGTGGTGATTGGTCCTAGCTGGATTTGTAGGATGAAGTTGCAAATAGGAATCCTATTTGTAAAGGTAAAGTATTAAAAAAATGAACCACCTTTTGGGAGTCTGATATCAAAATATTTATGGATGGTTAGAAAGGGAAAAATAAAAAAGCCGCCTTTGAATTGTTTATGAATTTTGCATTTCAGCTGGAAAACTACTCATTACACCCCTAATACTGGTTCTGGGACTGGCACTGGGAGCTGTAGCTGTTGTAATAGGTAAGAATTACATGTGTTTATGCAGTGACTTTCTGTATGACATCTCAGTATTTTAATCTCGAAAAGATGGACACAAAGTACAAATTGCACAGATACTGTTTTAGTAGCGAGAATGTGACTCTCTTCAAAAAATTTTCACTTGAATCTCTATTTTCTTACTTGCATTTTTTGCTTATTAGCTTTATTTTTGTTCCCAATTATTTGCTTCTCTGAACCAAAATCTTTTAACTACTATGGTTAACTAGTAAAACATCCAGAGTAATTTAAACATAATCCTGGGGGCTGGGTGACTTGGACTCTCCCTTTAATCACACCATTGGATCACAATTTTATGGTCTTGACTATGTGCATGACAAGATATTTGGAGCATGAGGCATAGTCCCAAGAGCCCACCAGCTCAAAGGTGCAACAGCAATGAAGCAGCAAATTGGGATGAGTCAATCTCAAAATATGATTCATTGCATAGGCTGCCAAGCTGGATTCCATCACAAAAACTGGTACTCATTTAATACAGTATCAAAGGTCTGTTATTGTGGTTGTATTAATGTGGACATAGTTATTTTAGCAAATCTGCTCTTTGCCTGGCTTAGCTGAGTTCTCCCACAGAAAGGAAATTAGCCAGGACAACAAATGTATAATTTTGCTCATATAAGTGCATGTCCACTCTTTATGTTGGCAGTAGTGTGTCATTCAGGGATTGTGCTGCTTAACAGCTCTTCACCAAACTACTTACTCCATTGAAAATTTGCTGTGCTTGCCCAGCCCTGAGGCATGTTGGGATGTGGCACCTTTCTTTCAATATGATAAAGCCAAAAATACCAGGGTAGTTACATTCATATGATTGTAAATAACCAGTCATCTATAACCAAAATGCCATTATAACTTTCCAGGACTACATCTGGCCAAATAAGAAATATTGTATTAATTTCTGTATTTAGACTATCCTCACTGAAGAGAGAGAGATGCTGTCTATCTTAAATATTCTATTTATTAACATTTTGTGCCAAAAATATAGACAGTAAAGATTTATTAATCCCAGTAGAGCTTATTTTCCTCTGCAATCTGGTACAAACTATGGTGGGGGGAAAAAACCACTCTTTTGCTTATACTAAAAGTTAAGAGAGTTTTGCAGTAATAGAATAACAATAATTGGAATAATAATAAATATGCTATTGAAGTCTCATCATAGGTATGGGCAGTTGATTATTTACAGGTAGGTTTTGGCTTTGAGGTAATTACAGCAATATTTGCTGCTGACACATCTGTTAAAGTCATCTCAGTGTCATAGCTGAAAACCACTGAGCACTATTTACAAAGGTGTTGAGCAAAGCAAGGACTCTGGTGAGTGTAGTAGTCTTTTGTTCTGTGTCATTACTGTAGTGGTGTCTGAAAAGGAAATCTTTGACCATTTCAGCCAGCTGGTGGTAAGAGAAAGCAGGGAAGATGCTTCTCATTTAGATTTGAGAGAGTACCTCTTGTGACAAACTATTTTTCAGCCAAATAAATGTGACTTATTTGGCTGAAAAACTGATTTATTTTTCCCTTTCACAGCTTCCTTTCTCTCAAAAAAACTTTTAAGAGTAAATACTTCCCTGCCCAGGCAAGGACAAACATTTGATATTACTTCACAATCAATGAGGATGTCTGTAAAAATAAATTATACTTTTAAAAAAGTAAAGGTATAATGTCCTATTTCTATTGTACGTGAAGCTAGTTGAAAACTAGTCTAGTTACGTCAGCCTTGGATTTAGATCTAAGGATTTCCAGAGTGCTTTTAAAAGTTTTAAGTTTGTATTTTATACCAAGCAACTTGGTTCAGGAATTAATTTGTCAGAGATGGGCTAAAGGTTAGCTGGAATTTGTTGTAAAGGTAAAATAAGTGTAGCTTAACTCTTTACCAAAGAGATTGTTGCAGGCTGTATTTTTTCTGCTTGCCCAAATGCTTTGTCTAAATTCTCTTAGAGATATGGAAGGCTCCATCTGAATACATACATTGAAAGATCACAGCACACACAAAGGATTGCATTTAATTATGGTTTTCTTTATATTTCTTTTCTTTTGGCAGGTTTATTTGTGTTTCCTATCTATTGCCTTTGTAAAAAGCAGAGGAAAAGGTCACGGACAGGTATGCCCTGGTAAGGATGGACCTTACTCTCCTGAACTGAGCTGGTCCTGCAAGGGCTATATGCGCTTTGTGCAGCAGAGCAATACAGAGCTGGTCACAGCATCAAAGCCACCGCCCTGGAAGAAGAATGGGAAGTTCTCCTGTCGTCTTCCCTCCGCTGAAAACACTACTGCAGACCAGAAAGCCTCTTTGCTCTGGTGCACTCTGAACAAGATGAGCCCCCTGACTGCTACTTTTTAAATGCTTTGGGTTTTGTTTTTTCAGTTATTATTTTTGAGGGGTTTTTTTGAATCTAAGTTTCTGAACCAGACAATCAAAGTCTGTATCGTAGCCACAACTCTACTACCGATTTGGCCTGTGAAGAAAGCATTTAACTGCTAACATGTGCTCCGTTCAACTTCAGTGTCGGCCTTTCAGGGGGAAATGCTTAGAAGTGTTTGGACTCTTACTGTATACTGAGCATACTACTTTTGGTATTAAAAATGACTTCTGTAAATAACTTCCATCACACAGCATTCTGTTCAGCATACCCAAACCCCGGCACATGCCAGAGCACGACAGCTGGTTATCTTCTGAGTCCTCCTGCTAGTGGGCAAGAGTGTAGATTGCCACCGCCAAACTGCAGTGCCTCAGAGGGAAATATCCTTAGTATTGAAGCTCTGTGTTACTTAATATGATGATTGGTTTCACTTCAGTCATTAATTTATGACAGTCTATTAATATTAATGGGGGGATGTGACAAGTTTTGTTACAAGAGTATTAGATTTTTAAATTCGTAGAGTACAGAAAAGATTCAAAGAGTTTAGGTAATAAGTATGGGTGGTCTATTCTCTCCCAAGATATCCCTGAAGTGTGTTTGCGAGGAAGCTGGAAACCTGCTCTTCTGTTCTGACTTGGAATATAATACACATGCTACACACTAGTTGTGTGAAGGTTGACTTGATGAAATTCTGTTAGTTCGAGAGCACGTTTTGTTTGTTCATTTAAGTAGGCTACTATGTAAGTCTTAGAGTATCCACTGATGTCTCATGAGGAAAATCTGTGAATCCTGGGGTAAGGGGAGGGGTCCTGACTCCTTAGGAGACCATTGCATTCATACTCTGCTACCAGTGTTTCTCTTCCTGGCACATTACAGTTCTGAAGAGAATAACTGTTTTTGCTCTTTTTTCCTAACTTCAGTGTTCCACTGTTTGCTACCAGATGTCTTTCTCAGTGCGTCACCACAACAGCAATGTAATTCAGCATTAGGAATCAGCTACTGAGAATTTTTTCACTTTTAATTACAGTCCAAATTTATCATACAAATATAACTTTAAAAAAAATAAATTTTGTGTAGGCAGAACACTGAAACAATAAAGAAAGGAACTGAATAAGAGAAATACTTTATACTGTAAGAATACAGGCTGATCTTAAAGAAAAGATTGGATTTGTACTGTGAAGGTACTTTTTTCAGTGTGTGTGTTTGAAGATACATATGGATGTATATATATGTTTGTGTATATATGGGGAAAGGAGAAAGCAGGAAGAGGGGAAATGTCCTGAAGAGTCTACAGACTTCAAAATTTAGGCTTTCAAATAGCATATCATTTAAGAGGATGTACTTTGCACCACTTTCCTTCGAAATTGTTGTTAAATGAGAATCCAGTTGTAATTGTTAAGTAAATAGTATTCTGCCCTACCAACATAATACTGTCACAAGATACTCACTTTTACTTCAAAGCCTCAGTGGAAGAAGCTGATGACTTTTGTTTACCCAGAAACACAAATATCAGCTTACCGTAGTTGGCGAGTGTGCTTGTTTTCTGTCAGCTTCTGGTTTTGTTTTCTCGGGGTTTTTTTCTTGTTGAAACAGTGTGCACAAGCACACTGTAGTAGTCAACAATTTCCATTTGGATTTTAGGGAAGCAGTGCCACTTAGAAATGAAATTCAAAACCTATTGTCAATGCAAATCCACCTATTAATTAGATTTCTCCTTCTGTGACACATCAGTTTTCTATTTGTGTTCTGTCTGAGGTTGGAAGCTGCCTTAAAATCAGACTTGATTTTTGAGTGTCTTTTCTGAGGCTATACATATCAGTTGTCTTTGGCTTACTCAGGGATTTTTATTCCTCTCTTTAAATGTCAAATAATGAAGATATTTTTGTATTATTTAGAAAAACCTTCAGACCTCAGAGCGAGATTATATATAGAGGTAGATAGATTTGGGTTTGCAATGCAGTCTGTAACATGGTGTCAAACTATTCCACTTGAGAATATTTTAGTACTTGAGATTGTGTAATTAACTATACAGTGGATTAATTTCTTTTCTTTTCCTGGTTCTGTATTAATATGTGAGATATTCTTATGGTCTTTGTAGATGTTTTCACTCCGCCATGTTTGCCATTTTCAGTTTCTGACAAGAGTTCAGTAAGTTCTGAAATTAAGAGACGAGAATAAAGAGCATGAAAGGGAAGATAATAGATCTGCACTTATTTATGTTCAGAAAGCATGTCCTTGTGGATGGAGAAGAGGAAGCCACAACTCAGCTCCTACCTTATCATTTAATCTTGGCCATTTTGATTTTCTTGGAACAGATTAAATCAAAGGGAAACGGTTCTTCGTTTTCTATACAGAGCAAAAAGAGGCATCTTTGACCTTGTAAAGATAAGCAAGTCTGATTTTGTGTTCTCTGTAGGAAAAAATCCCATAAGTAATTACAGTAATTTCTGCTTTACTATAGAAGAGGAAAAACTTTCAAGAGCCAGGCAGAGTAGGGATATGGAAGTCTTTTTCCACTTGAAAAGTATATAAATACAATTTTTCATTAATGCTACATAACATAACCAACTGAAACATAAGAAGTGTCAGTACAAAGCTTCATTTGATAAAAGATTAACTTTTAAACAATTCATCACTGGAAATATACATCAAAGCTATGTCATTTGTTTTAAAAGCATTAATTTATCAGTTTGGAAAAAGTGGAATGAACTTTGTTGTAAGGAAATTCAATGATGCTTTTATTATGTAAACATGTTTTGGTTTTAGTAAGTACTCTAAAGAAACCATTAGGCTATTCTACTCCATCTTCATTAGCAGAAAACTTCATCAGGCAGCTAGCTGAATTAACCTGCTAAGGCAGATTTCACACTACTGTATGCTGATCGTTGCTGGTCATCGTGTTTGTTTTCACCATAGTTAATATTTAAGATTATTTATCCTTGTGCAAGTTGTGACTCACCAATACCAGTACTCAGACTGGGAAATGCTTAACTCCATTCTACTCCAGCCTTGTATTTCCAGCTTGCCTGTGAATGGGTTTGCCTGTATGCTCAGTCCTGCTGCAGGTGTGCAGTCAGAGCTGGAGCCCTCCCCTGGTGCCACGCTGTGTGTGCCCCCTCTGCTCCTGCTGGGAGGGCTGGCTGGACACGCCGCCCTGCAGGGGCTGCTGCCCTTTCTTCACCCAGTTTCTCTGCTATGTGTAATTTCGTTGTATTTCACTAATTGGGTTGAGTTTCAGGGCAGCTCAACCATGTCAGTGGCAGGATGGCTTTGACTGCTGCAGCATCTCAGACATTATTAGGTATATTTGCAGAGCTTATCGAGGAGCTTGTGACTGGAAAATAATTGTGCTTTTCCTTGTGTCACGTTCTATTAGCCAGTGAAAATAAGCTGAGTAGGAGTACAAGCAAGAGGCAGAAGGACAATTCTGAGTAGCCTTGTGCTGGAGCTGACCCATTGATTTTGGTTCCATCCAAAAAAGTTGTTTAGTCTTCTGTTCTCACCACCTTTATAATAAACAGCATATTCATATCTTTCCAGTGTCATTAAAGTACAGTGCACTTTGAGTGATCTGCTATCTTCCTTTGGGGCAGTGCAAATGTGTGAGGGAAGATTTTGTTTGGTTTTGATGTAACTAATGCTGACTTCATAACTCTTCCTGGTATGTTAGGAGTTTTTAATTTACCCCTATTTATTTGTTATACAAGTTTTATCAGCATGATGTTTTACTTTATTAAAAATATTAATTGGCAGGGACTATTGCCAGTTGAACTAGAAGGCATTTTGGATCACCATCAGGTATTCTTTTTAGCCTGGGGACTTTCTGCTCTTCCAGACTGTCACAGCTTGTGTGATGTTAAATGGTGTGTAGGTGGGGCAATAATTCTCTCAGAGGATACAAATTCTCCAGTGATGAAATGATTTCTTTTGCCAGTTAGATCTGAGAAACTTTAATATTCAATGGCCAAATAGTTTGCCATGCAGACTCAAAGGGGTTTTTTTAATTCAGTTATGGTATTTTGTTTCTGGAGCAAACCTTGCATTGTTCATAATGTTTGGCATGCTAATTGTGTATGTTCAAGTTGTGGGTAAGAACCATGGATTAGTGTTACTTTTATAATCTGTGTTAGATCTCTGATTTTGATGATGGAAAGAATCCAACTGGAGGAAGCTATTAAGAGAGATAATTTCTTAGTTTCTTTTAACTGTGCCGACTTAGTTTTACTGAGTCAACTCCATTTCTGACATCAGGCGTAGCCCCATTAAATGAGAGAATTTGTTCACCAATCCTTTGATAAAAATGTCTGGAGGGGTGTTGATGGCCATTGTGCAGCAACCTGAGAACCTGGTTCACTTCTTAAGAAGTGCAAACTACCACAGAGCTGCTCCTCTCACTTGCAGAGTGATGCCAACGCTGTTTAATAAGTGCAGGAGAGGGAAGGAGTAGGGAAAATTTTCCAAACAACATTCTTATTGTCAGGAGAAGGGATGCTAGCTTCAAATAGAATAGAGACCTTCTTAATGCCTTGAGTCACTAATAAAATTATAAACAGCATCTATAGACAGTGTTAAATAACATATCTTCAATTCTGCTTTATCAGTGTAACAAATAGTAGGACAGTGTAAGAATTGGAATTGCAACAGTTCAGTACTTTTAGGACTTAAACACAAACTTGAAGTCAAACAACATTTAAAAAATTATGTTACTGAACCATTTGGTTTGTCTTGCTACTGTTACATAAAAACTGGCTGAGCCTTGAATCAGTTGAAAAACAAGTAGTGTTTTCACTTAAGTACTGCTCAAGCTGTAACACAACACCCCCAAACGTTTTTCTTAGTAAGACTAACAAAGGCAGCTGCTTGCAGCTTCCTGGCTGCAGCTTCTTCATCTTTCTGTGCATTACAGTTCAGGATCTATATGGTCTCTGCACTGAGGAATGGAGTGCTCATATTAGGCAGTTAATCACTGATGCTTCTCTTAGCCTGACAGTGAAATACCATAAGGTAGGGAAATGAAAACTGATCTTAGAGTGCATGCTCTGATTTCAAAGGTAAAAATGTATAATAAGCTCTAATTACTCCATAGTAAAAAATAGATACACACATTTCTAAGCATAATTCCAGCTGTTTATTTCTAAATATGTTTTAAAAAGAGTAGTTATAATAGCAATTAGTTTATTAAAATATGCATATTGTGCAAAAGAACTTTTTTGCCACTTGTTTGGCTTAGCAAAACTTGA